AATAAAATATTTAATATATATATTATAGTATTAAAATATTTAATAAAATTTAATATTTAAATATTAAAAATTAAATGTTGGATATTTTATGCAGAAAAGTTTGCATTGAGCAAATTCTTATTGTTCCGATTTAGAGGAATAATATGTCATGTGCTTCTCGTTGTCTGTCTTGTAATATATTACATAAAATAATAACGAAATTTCTTAACAAAGGATACCTTTTCATGTCAACTATTTTGCTTGTATTTGGCACGTGTTGTATAGCAACACGTAAACTAGAAATGCATGACAATCATAAAAACTGACATGGTGTCGTAAAAAAAAAAAAAAACAATGCGGATCTGCAGAATCATTTTTTTCTACTTTATGTTTGTATATATTTATTGCATTATACTAAAAATATATATGTATAAAAGTATAGCGCTTCTTAATTTATAAAGACTGAGATTAAAAATGAATTCATAAAAAATGAATTCTTTTTTGTAACAGAAAGAGGTATACTGGAAAAAGGAAAACATACAAGATAATATACTCAAATGAGTATGATGCAAATGAGTATGGCGTCTAATGAGTACGATGTTGTATTCAAAAATAATCCAGCACAGTATGAAACTAATACTTATTATGTATGCTCCGGCTCATATTTTCATCGAATACACACACACACACACACACATATTCTCACAGATACAGTTTTCCGATTTAAAATTATTAAGCACGTTCCTTCAAAAATAAGAGATTTAGGAAAAATATTTATTAAAAACCTTTTTACAACTTCAATACTTTTAAAAAAATCAATAAAAATAATTTTCAGATGCACAAAAATATAAATTACAACGCTAATAAGAATTAATGGTATAGATAACAGGACGTACATATTATCTTATAATTAATAGCGTAATTTATAAATGATCAATTACATCTTCAATACAAATTAAATTAATCTTTTTTACTATATATGTAACTCTAACACAACAAAAATAATACACTATAATTTAACGAAGTTAAAGCAATAAGAATCCCACTAGTTTCTGAACAGAAAAATTCTTACTAGCGGAATAATGTAATTTTTGCTTTCTTTAAATTGCCTTTCTTTTGTACTCTGACAAAGCTTTTGCAATCATAATATTTTGTATACATTTTGCATTACTTTTCAAAGTTACATGTAGTATATCATTTTCAATTAATTTTCGCTTGATGACGGTTTGCTTGATGAAAATTGCAAACAAAAACGTTTAGTTTAATTTGCATAAAATGTAGTTGATTTATTTAAACTACGCTGTTGCTATGTTGTTTACATACCATTATCTCTGTTTTGGTTTTTATTTTAGCGTAGTAATCTATTTTATTAAAATTTTTATTTCAATAAATTCAACATATTTTTAGAAAACTTTATTCTCTTTCTTTTTGTTCTAAAAAAATTATTTGTTCATTTTATTTATTTTTATTTTGTATATTTATTTTTATTTTATTTATTTTTATTTATTATACTCTCTATTTTTCTATTTCTTCCATATTAATTAAAATGTTCTACAACGCAGTTGTCAAATAATGTTTTAAGTTGTCAAATTTATGCTTTAATTTCTAGTAGAATAAATTTTATTCATTTATTGGTGTATTAAGATTTTCTATAAATAAAACAATAAATAACAATGATGGGATTAAATAGTAGAAAAACAAGACTAACTTAGCAGCACGAAGAAGCGAAGAATAGAAGTAAGTAAATTGAGTTGTTTGTGCAGTTGTGGTCTAACTTTGTGAAAACACACTGTTCAAACAAGGTCGAACATTATGGAGGCGACAGTAATAAATTTACAGTAATTCTTCAAACACTCGATGAGCATGCGATGAGTGATTTTGCATAAAAGTACACGCCATTCATGTAAATGTCGGTCCTTTGCGCTCAAGCAAAGTTCCTCGCATATTGATTTTAATTCAAACTCACTCGTAAAATTGTATCATTAATGATGAATTGTGAGACTGACGATCTCTCATAAAATTTTTAATGCATTTTTTAATTAAACTAATTATTCTAAGAATATTGTAATTATTATTTATTGTAATTGTACAATCGATGGGCAACTGGTGAATGATTGGTTCACAAAATTTACGTTCATTGTACTTGGAAATAGTAACAAAG